CGCTACAATGTATACTTAAGGCTTTTAGGCAATTTCTCTCGGTAATAGATGAAACAGCGCAATATATTTCTTAAGCAATATTTTTGCGAAAAATTGATTAATTATTGTAACGGTGACGAAATTTACCTTTTTGAATTTTTTTACAAAAATATACTCGTATCATTAAGGTTGGTGTCTATATATTCATACCACATTAAAGAATAAATATGTATATAAATAGACGGGTGCTTCCTTATAATAATAATAATAATATTTTTATTTTTCAGACCAATTACATCCATATTATAAATTCATTTAAAGCTAAGTGTTAGTAACAAAAAACTTAAAACCTTATGTTAGTACTATAAAATTATAAAACTAACATACTAAGCACTAGGCCTAGTATGTAGTTGTACCCATTTATACAATATAGGCGTGTTCCACCTTTCAACAAACACACTCAGCATTCTGTTGGAGGAGCCGCGGAGACGTCCTAACATGGAGGCGCACCGTTTTCTCATGACGGCATAAAAGTCATCCGTGTGCGCCTCCGCAAACATGCCTGAAGCGCTGCAGTGCCGCGGCAGCCCCATCAGAAATCTGAACGCGTTGTTGTATTGGATCCGTAGATCGCTGTATGCCCGCCGCGTATAGTCAGCCCAGAGACTGCAGCTGTAAAAAGACTGACAGTATGCTTGTAGTCAAAAAAACACTGTTTAAACAGTGTTATTTTGACTTGCTTTGTACACCTTGCAAATCTCCGCGTCAACATGTTGCAACGGACAGACAGCGACCTAAGTTCCCTTTTAATATCATAATCATCCTTCAAATTGTCGGTGACCCAGTGGCCAAGGTATTTAAATTTGTTTACCCGGCATAGTGGTGTGCCATTGAGTGCAACTACCGGTTTGTCTTTATAGGTTTTAGAACCAGACTTAAAAAATTATAATACTGAAACGTCTTTGTTCACTCACATACTTTTAGCGAAATATTTTAGCATCGCTCTCTTTTTCAATAAGCCTATTATTCTTATAATATCGTATTATAATTTTACATTATACTGCAACTTTTAAAATCCACAGCAAATAAATAGTTTTTAAAACTTTTATTAAAGCAATAAGAGGGTTTCAACATAAAGAACTGGTAGTGTAAGGGAATTATATTTTATAAAAGATTTTAATATGAAAAAGTGATTGAAGTTGTAACCACAACATTTTAATGGATTGAATGTTTTTGAATTATTTGCTACATTACTTTTATGGTATCGAATTTACTTTTTTATTATTATGTTACTATAAATACTCATGTAATTTTTCAGTCTAGGTTTTAACGGGTAAACCGTTGTACGGATTTCAGCATTACAAGCTGTAAAACTTCTTGCACAACTTCTTATCAATGTTATAATAATAAACTTAATTTTCATGACCGTGATCTAGTGAAAAGTAACTGCATTACATTAATGGTTTTATATAGTTTTTAAGTGATTTCCAGTATGTTTCGATTATATATTTAATATAATATAAACCGACCTGACCAAGTTCACATATGCAGAGATAGTTCCCTGTCATGAATATTCCACGTTCATTGAGATTTATTGGGGCCGGGCTTTCCTCTTGCCGTAGATTTATGTCCTGTTTGAATTAGATTTGTGATATCCTGGTTTCAGTTTAATGGCAGGAAAAGGAATAGTATATAAAGATTGTAGAACCACGTCCGATTTCGATAAATTTATATACCTAGAGATCGATTTATCAACTTTATTAACATAAAAAGTTTATTGTGTGATCATAGGCTTTAAAATTTGGAAAAGGTTTAATTTTTTTTCTTCTTTCAAAACTTAAATATCTATTTGATCTAAAAATAAAGTTAATACTTTATTGTAAATAGAAGTTTAGTTCAAACGCTTATTTTGTGTGGATAATAAGTAAACAAAATATAATTATAAGTGTTAAATACCTTATTAAGCATATTGAAGCTATCCAAAAATTAGTTAATTCTCTTTATAGGACTGAATTTGCGAAACCTGCGGACACACCATCAATATTTCTAATCGAACGTGAATAATATACCCTTTAACTACTGCTTTTCAAACTCCTTCAAAAATATATAACATAAGTATTTCTCATTCAAATTTTGCGAAACAGTATCCATCAAATTAAAATTACCCATCTATATTTGGTTTTAAAATCTGATTCGCAATTCTTTAAACAATAAACCTAGAATTGGATTCAGACGATTTTTATATGGAGAGGAAGCGTATAAATCATTTTCATTATAAAACTTATATGGAAATATTATATTACTTAAACTAAATATTTCAATTCCGGCCATTGAAGGTGATTCTGAATATCATAACCGTTAAGACGCCTGCCTTGTTTATTATCAAAAAAAATCAATAAAACATTTATATTCAACTATTAAACAAAAATAACCCAATATATAGCTCAGCGATATCTAAGCATATAAACGCAGAAAATCAAAACGAGTAGAACCATATTCTTTATTATCACTGTAACACAATATTTATGCACATCTCATTTGATAAGACGTAACCACTGTTATCAGTACTTAAAACTGTTAACGGTTATGGAGGTTCTCCTTTTAATCTTCAGTTAAATATTACTATATATGAATGATAAATATTTGATACATTAATATGCAAACTAATTACGTCGACTACAGAGGTTCCAAAAAAACCAAAATTTACTTATAATTACTTTATTCTAAAGACTACCTATCGTTACACGATTAAACGATGAAGTGATTTTATAATTTTAAAACTGATTTACAATGCCTCGGGAAGCCGTGGTGTTCTCTTTCTGCATTCCATTCCCATAGATTCCGCGGAATAAGATGTCGGCTTTACTTCATTCCATTCCCATAGGTTCCATGGTGTCAGCATTCGGTGTATGATTCAATAATTTTATGTTCGCGTAACAAACTGTACACTAAACCAATTTTGTTATTTCATTATTTGCAAACGCGTATTGAATAATGTATTTTATTAAAAACAAGTATATAAATAAAACAGCATATTGTGAGAAATTGAATTATAATTAAACACATAAAAATTGTAAGTAACAAAACTATTAGTATATGTACATTTAAAAATATCAAGTTTGTAACTGTTTTATCAGTGAAGAAGTCCAATATCCAAATAGACTAATCAAACATATTTTCTTTTCAAAATATGAAATGTCACGCGATTTATTTCTGTAAATGTTTTATATAAAGTATTTTTGTATTAGTCATATATACTACTACAAAGAAAGTTAATTTAAAGATTTTTAGGACTAAATAACAAACACGAAAAAGGCGATCTCAAAGTGTAATCAAATGTTTGCTCCGGCCCTTCCGCGCCGGCTTCACAAGCAGCATACCGTTTGAACGCTGTGATATATTAGTTGGCCAAATTTTGTATAAATTTGGTGAGAAATGAGTTAACATGTTATATTTCATAAGTTTCAAAATGTTTTGGAAGCAGGATTCTATATAAGGTCCGTCTCAAACATCTCTTCACATGCATTAAATCCTTTAAAAAATCTGTTCATATAATATATATACAAAAAGATTTTTATTTATTTTAAGACATATACTAAAATCATCTTAGGATTAATAACTTATCATAATTTACAGTTTTGTTTTCATATCTTTTATGATATCATTGCTCACTAGAAACTAAGAATCAGACTTAAGGGAATCGTGAACTCTCAAGCTCAGGAAACCCCTTGTCATTGTATAAATATTAAGTTTTGCATCGTCTTGTATTAATCACTATTGAAACTGCAACAGCATCGGTTGTAGCTGTAATATTATAACAGATTTAATAGAGATATGTGGGTTGTTAAAAATAATAATATGAAAAGTTAAGCACCCTATTTTCTTAATATTTTAGTTTCTCAACATCTTACATTCTATATATTGTTTCAGACCAAAATGTATTTTCTGTATATTTTATTTGCCGTCATATTCTCAGGCATCTGCTCAGGAGTTTGTTGAACCAGCATTAGTTGTGGAACCGTGAGTCTTATAATTAATCAATATAAATCTTTAACTCATCACCTGTCTTAATGAACTCTATTACAATGTATTAGAGTTCAATTTACTACTGACTCTTTTCGTTTTATGTTCCAGTTACCCTGAATGGTCCGTGGGTCAACGAGTTCGTCGTGACGTCACTTTTGATAAACAGATCGGTGACGGAAAAGTGTTCGGAACACTCGGACAAAACTATAAGGGACTCTTTGTATGTAACAATATTAACTGTTATATAATAATAAATAAACTGCTCTATAAACTTTATAGAGGACGATCCATAAGGCAGTGATATTTAATGGTTAATGTTTATAATGTAGGGTAAAGGTGGCTATGAGCATCAGATCTTCAATGATCACCGCGGAACTCTAAACGCACAGGCGTACGGAACCCGCGTCCTTGGACCAGCCGGGGACTCCTCGCACCTCGGAGGAGCACTCAACTGGAAGAACCCTAACGCAGCCGCCTCCTTTGACATCAGCAAACAGATACATGGTGGCACTTCAGTGAGTGCATCTACATTTAATATAACAATTTATATTGAAACAGGTCTTGATGTAGTAGTATTGTATAACAACTAAATACATAATTCCAGTATCAAGCAGCAGCTGGTGGCAGATGGCCGGTCGGTAAGAATGGTGACTTCTCTCTCCAGGGAACGTACGGTAATCAGGCCGGCATGCGCAGAGAATACGGCGGTCTGGGTAGCTTTAACTACAGGTGGTGATACTGTTAAGTATTGACTGATAAGAATATTTTTTAATACAGAAAATAAATTATTTATAAGAAATGAAACAGTACTTCCTTTATTTACGTATATTAGGGGGACCGGAAAGTAATGTCGTTTCTGCGCATGCCAATACTTGATTGCCATTTGTCAGCTCATTGTTTGGTTCAGAGGCGTACCAAAGACATTGTGAGGTATAGTGATTTCTTTACTTATAGACAATTGAATTACAATGTTTTTTTTTGTAATTTTGGGTAAAATGGCCAGCCAAATACCAGAAAAGGTACACATCCGGCATTGCATGCTCTTTGAGTTTCGCAAGGGAAATAACGCAACAGTTGCTACCAAAAACATTTGCGATGTTTATTCAAATGCACTGGACATTCGTAAATGCCAAAGGTGGTTTTCCAAGTTCAAATCGGGTAATTTTGATCTTTCCGACTCGTATCGATCAGGAAGACCATCAGCGTTAGATAACGACGTGTTAAGGGCGCAAGTGGAAGCAAATCCGTGTCAGACGATCGAGGAATTGTCAAACAGTCTCAACAAACCTTGGTCGACCATCCAAGAACATTTGAAGCAGATTGGGAAAGTAAGCAGAGCAGGTGTTTGGGTCCCGCATAATCTGTCCGAACAGAATAAGGCTAACCGATCAATCACATGCAACTTATTGCTTCAACGACACAACACAGAAGCGTTTTTTGATCGCTTGATCACAGGAGATGAGAAATGGGTCCTGTATGATAACCCAAAACGCAAAAGGCAGTGGCTCTCTCACAAATGAAATCCCTCGGAGTACTGCTAAGCCAGGTTTACACACCAAAAAAGCGCTTTTGTGTGTTTGGTGGAGTATTCGCGGCATTGTTCATTTTGAATTAGTGAAACCTGGACAAACTGTTACTGCAGACCTCTACAGCGAACAATTGCAGCGAGTCAATCAATCTTTAATTGAAAAGTGGCCAGCGATTGTCAACCGAAAAGGCGTCATTCTCCAACATGACAATGCAAGACCGCACTGCGCAAGGCGAACTCTAGAAAAAATTAATGAATTGGGGTGGGAGGTGCTGCCTCATCCACCATATTCGCCCGATGTTGCACCGTCGGATTTCCACTTATTCCGAGCGCTGCAACACTTTTTAAGTGGCAAAACATTTGGAAATTTGGATGATATCCAAAATGCCATCTCTAGATATTTTGCCGAAAAACCAATTAATTTTTATCGATCAGGGATTGAAAATTTACTCACTAGATGGCAAAAGGTTATTGACAATGATGGGGAATACATCATTGATTAAAAATAAAGACTCGTTAAAAATGTATGTGTTTGTATTTAGCGTAAGAAAACGACATTACTTTCCGGTCCCCCCTATACATATTTGATGTAATGATGCAAGTTTCTTAAGTGTGAAATGAAATAGTTTCGGTATTGGAGATACATGTTTTACAATTTGGTCCTATTAGAAATGGCCATGTTTACCTTTTTATTATTTATTATAGTTTCTTAAATGACATTATATATATATAAGTCATATGAACATTCTAGTGTAACATTAAAAATAAACGGTCTGAAAACAATGACATAAATTAAATTTAATATCTTTGCTATCTTTATATTTTTCGAGTTTAAATGTAGCACTAAGTAGGTACTTGTTAAAGATTTAATATAATAAAAATTAATTTAATTTTGAAATATAAATAAGATAGATATATAATATATTTGCGATATAGGTAGACATAAAAATGAAAATATTAATATAAATATACTAAATGCATGTTATAACAATTTATATTTTAACTGACATTTCGGTTACTTAACAATAAAATTAACCTTGCCTCCAAGTAATATTTCATTCATCATGTTTTTAATTGCTATTTTATATCTCCTATAAGGTAATAAATTTTTTGATGTATTCTTATTTAATCGATTCATTATCAAGTAGTTTGGAAAACCTTTAATATTTTAAAAGCGGAGTTTGGAAGTAATATTCAATTTGTTATAAAGTTGCATAGACCGGAGTCTGTTATTTCATTTTTCGAGTTACTTTAGTCTCTAGAGTTTAGACGCTTCGTAAATTCGAAGGCAATTTAAATTATAAAGTGACTAGTTATTTATATTGTTTAACTTCAACGTTAGAGATGGGTTCATTGGTATTAATATCAAATATTTTTTTCTAGATCCAATGTTTTCAAATTAATAAAAACATTCAAAATCAAAATAAATTAGACGGGACATTTCAATAGGTTATTATTATGTGAATATAAATTACTTTCTAATACCTTATTACATATATAGTTTTAATAAAAATTTTCTTAACTAAAGATTACTTACTATTTCATATGATCTAGCTCTGTTTTGTATATTTTCATAGAAGGAATCTTTTTAAATGTTGATAAAGTAAAGCCAGCACACTTTTTAAGCTTCGTAAGGTGCTCCCGTTTGTATATGATCGCAAATAAATCGTCCCAACACGCGCTAATGTCTGTTTAAATGTATTAACAAAACATTAATATTAATTCTGGCTCTAGAGGTTCGTCAAATGGCTAACAGACTGTTAATCAATTGAAGGGTTTTTTCATCCAGAGGGTCGTGACCCCCTCGGTGTCTCTCCAGAGAGGTTGCGAAGCCTTTATAGTGGAGTTGCTCAAGGCCGAGGAGCTAGATTTATTAAGAAAAATGTTAAAAAAGACATACGAGGGGAGGTCAAAAAGTTCGCGGAATGGAGGGGATGGAGGGGGTTGATTTACTCGTCCAGGTAGTAACTTGTTCAACACCTCATTAATAGTATATATACCAAGTTTGAACCAAATCGGGTCATTAACTTTTGAGTTGTTGACCTGCAAACAAGTGAATCGGGAAGAAGTCAGTGAGTATGGAGAAAATTGAACACCGCGCCGTTATTAAGTTCCTCACCAAGCAAGGAAAATCCGCTCAGATAATTTTTGAAGAGCTGTTATCAGTTTACGCGGACTCTGCCCCTGGTAAAACCATGGTTTACAAGTGGCATGGACTTTTTAAACAAAGAAGAGAGTCCATTGAAGATGACCCCCGCTCCGGACGACCGATTGAGGCCACCACACCGAAAATCGTCGCAAAAGTAGAAAAACTTATATTGGAAGATGCCCGGTTGCAGAAGAAACGGCTTGGAGCAATGGTTAGAGTATCCGAAAAAAGCATTTTAAATATCCTACATCATCATCTTGGGATGACTAAGGTCAGTGCAAGATGGGTTCCAAGAATGCTCACGCCACTTCAAAAGAGCGAGCGTGTCGAGTGTTCTCGCCAGTTTTTGAAGCTCTGTGGAGAGAATAAGGACGAAGTTATGGACCGGATTTTTACTGGTGACGAAACCTAGGTTCACCACTATGAACCTGAATCGAAGCAAGAATCGATACAGTGGCATAAAAAAGGCACAGCTCCTCCAAAGAAGTTTAAAGTGTCACAATCGGCCGGAAAGATCATGGCGACTGTCTTTTGGAATACAGAAGGTATTTTGCTGATCAATTATAAAGATCGTGGTGTGACTATAACGGGATAGAACTACGCTTCTTTATTAGATAGATTGAAAGAAGCTATCAAGGAAAAAAGAAGAGGAAAGCTGTCAAAAGGTGTGCTCCTTTTGCACGACAACGCAACAGTCCACACGTGCCATGTTGCGACGGCTGCCATTCACCGATGCGGACTCGAAAAACTACACCACCCACCTTACAGTCTAGACTTAGTCCCCAGCGACTATATTTGTTTTCAAAAATGAAAAAAAAGCTGCGGTGAAAAATATTTGAGAAGTAAAGTCCGCAATTTCGGCCTATTTTGATAGCCAAGATAAATAATTTTTTTCGAATGTATTAATAAATTATTTGTGAGATCCGAAAAATGTATTAAGGTTAAGGGAGACTATATTGAAAAGAAAAAATAGTTTCGTGTTAAATTTCAACCCCCTTCCCGCTCATTCCGCGAACTTATTGACCTCCCCTCGTACTTAAAAATTTGTATGAACAAAAAAAATTACTTGTGTGATATTTTCCATCATTTATAATTCATTAAACAGAAAATGTATATATAAACTTAGGAGGACTGTTAATGCGAAGGTTGCGCTTATTTTTCATGCACCATTTTCTCCCATCTACCCTAAAGAGTGATTGATGATTTCAACTGAATAGTAATATCAAGTCTGATAGGAAAAGAGTACAATAAACTTTGATACTTATGTTTAAAAGATTAAAACTTAACTTCCTTTCTGACAAAGTGTAAACAGAATTGGGCTCTAAAAATCTTATTTTAAAGATATCCAATGGACAAAAAATACCAATAAAGCTATATCAAAGCGCTTAAGCTTATGAATGCTATTATAAAAAGATTAAGAGTAAGATAAAATATAAAGTATATCAACTCATCGAATAGAATTTAATTCGGTAAACTAATGTATCACAGCGTTCAAACAGAATGGAGCTTGTAAAGGCGGTGAGGCTTGAGCAAACATTTGTAGTAGCTAGCTCTAGCAGGTGACCCGTGTTATGTCTATTAATTCACGCTTAAAACTTTTCAATGAATAGAAATCAAAATTGGAATGATATGAGATAGCAAAAAATTTAGTTAAGATACATAACATACATGATATTAAAAGGTTGAAGAAAATATGTTTCATATGCTCATATGTAAATAACTATGTAGACGATTCCTTTTTTATAATATAAAAGTACTCAAACTAAAAATATATGAATTTATAATGTCAATAGATAAATAAAGTTTCGGTATAGAAATCACTATATAATTACAATTCTTTCAGAATGATAGCTTCAAAGATTCTACATGTTGATTAGAATTAATGAGTGCTAAATTAACCTGAGTAATATTTTTGTATTGGTTACAGAAGCAATTAAAGTTGATAATTTAAAAAAAATCTTATTAATTATCTCAATTATTTGCAACTATCTGACCCGGCAGACTTCGTACTGCCCCAATCAAGAAATAAATTATGTCTTATTTATATTTTTGGAGTTTACCTGTAAACCATAAATCTCCGTGTTTTGAAGTGCGGCAGAATGATTGACATATTAATTAGTTGTCAAATCTAATGTAAAAAAAAAAGTTTGTATGGGAAATAGAAAAGGGCTATTTTTATGGTTTTCCCAGTAATGAATCATTTTTTTTCAGCTTTTATACCTTCCCTGAACCTCCACAAACATTTCAAGACTAAGATAAGACAAATCGGTTCAGCCGTTCTCGAGTTTTAGCGAGACTAAGGAACAGCAATCCATTTTTATATATATAGAAGATATAAATGTATATATCGGCACTATTAGCTTTAAAACAGATGCGACATAAAAATAATTTGAGGCTGTCATCAATTCTTGTTAAAACTCATTAGTATTTATGATTATTGTTAAAAGTAAAACGGAATCAAAGATTGCTTAAAAGGAGGATAGAACTATGTTTAAATCTTGGTATAATTATGACGTCTGGACGCACGACGGCAGAATAGAGAGTTCAGTGTTTAGTGAGTGCGTGTCATTGAAATATGTGATTAAGAAGAACCTTCGAGAAATACAGGAGCATTAAGAACAATTGAAGTTTCATTTTAAAATATCACGGAACGAACTGAAAGAAGTGACATTAGTAACGTCAGCGAGGCTGGCGTCTCTCTCTTTTAAAACAACCAATGTGTAATAAATCCAATATATACATTAAACCCATCTTATATAAGAAAATGTATATTACAAAATATATTATTAATTATTTTTCTAAGCCATTATTTAGAATTTAATCTCTTCATTAACTTCATTGTGCTGGGAGCGTATTGTCCATGAAATTTTAAACTAACAAACTCAACCAAACTTTTAAAATAACATTCAAAGCTGTATATTAATCATAATAAACATTAAGTTATAAAGTACTAAATATTCTGAGGAGCTCCCTCGTGATCTTTGTCATTAACAACTGATAACAGTTGCTACGTCTTATTACATGTCGCGTGCCCAAGTATTTAGATTGAATAATAATAATAACATATTGTCGATCAAGAGTAAAAATATTCTTTATTAATATAATTTTTGCATATATTAATATTTCTATAAAATTACAAGATTGCTTAAAGAATCTATAATATCTCTTCGATATTGTACATAAGTAAAGTACAATTTAATTTACCACGTTTTTATATACAATACGGATAGGTTAAATTTAAATATTTGCATTGGAGAAAAATATAATTTTTTTGCAATAATAGTCATTATCTATGTACATATGCTTTCAGTTTTTAACGACGAAATTCAATAATTTATTGTTATTTCTAATAATAATAGATTCTCTCTATTCCCTTATCCAAGAATATCCAAAATAAAGTTCAGGCACATTTATTTATCACAGATAACAATGTCTTAAGTCAGGAAAATACGAATATTATGGCATGCTAGCATTTTTTATGAAATGAAAAATTTTGTTGTGAATAAAACTAGGAGCCATTATTTCTATTAACCAATAAAATATCGTATAAAAACATTATATATAAAAATTTATTGGATTTGAACCAGTTATTAAAAAATTATAACACGTCAAAGTTCTTACTTTTGTCAGTTCTAATATCCAAAGAAGCTTCAAATTTTGAATACAATTAGCATTAAGTGTACAGATAAAAGAAAAACCACATTTTATTTAAATTTCTATTCAGTTTTAGACCCAGTTTAGTAAAAATATGTAATCTTTGAAATCAAAATCATTACCATAGTAATCATCATAATGCGTAATGTGTGTCTGTGTGCATATTTGTCAATAAGTGAGTAATGCTTGATGTATATTTGTATGTAAAAGTTACGTTCGATGGAAGGTCAAAGAAAAACCATATTAATCTAAGCTACATTTATAAATTAAAGTTAATGCTACTTTCGCATTCCGTATAAAAGTACAGTGCTTCTTTCGAAGGAAATCTATATAAACTGTCGTCTATTCATATGAGTATACATTCATATAAAATCAAATAAACCAGTAATAAAACAGAAGATTCAATTTCAGAAAATATTTACTAATATAATATTATAAATGCCAATCAGTCTTCTTTTAAAAAAAGTATGTCACGAAAATATTACATTTACAATAACGCTGGGTCAAACTTACCCGATCGAACTTGATGAAGGTGTTGCTCGTTGCGCGGGCGGCGTCGCCCTGAGCGAACCATCGGGGCGGGTAGCGGGGAGATATCGCTTCAGCTACTCAAACGCTTAAACCACATAGCCCGGGTAAACAAAATATATGTTCGTTAAAAAACGTCTTGGGTCAATATGACCCAGCGTCATTGGCGCCGGGTTAATATCATTAAAGCATTCAATTCTAAAAGATTTAGAGATAAGTGCTAATGCAAATGGGATTCTAAAGATAGCTCAATCACTCTAATATAAAAACTAACGGAGAGTGAAAAGACTTCCAACTTATATTGTTAGTTTAATATAATCGACAATTGAAATCAATGGAATAAACGAAATGTTATAATGTTATTAACACTTTTTTTTAATAAGATATATTTTTGTGGTTAATCTCAATGAAAATTTAGAAAAGTGCATCTGTTTTCGAATAAAATGTTTAAAAATATAAAATATATTTCAACGACTCAAATGTAAAATAATTAATAGTTTCAAAGATATAATATTTGAATAACCCTGCCAGAAATATTAAACAGCACTCGAAGATATCTCTTATTTATCTTAATTAATTAATCCAAGTCCATAATATTACTAATGATCTCTCTGGGGTTTTTATAATAATCTTTCATAGTGCTAATCTTCGTTATTAAAGTATTTCATCTTAATATTATATTTTATTCTATATTACTTTATAACGTGATATTAATTAATTTTCTGGAGACCTTAAGGTCTGTCGTCCTAGTTTTATGAAAAATCTTAAGATTTTATTATGTTCAAATTACTGATTAACTTAATGACCGAACACCTAGTAAAAAAAATTATTAACATTGACAGTTTTTGTACACATTATCATATTCTAAAACAATTATTTGGAGTACGGTGTCATAAAATTATTGAATTTATTGTTTTTATACTACATATCTTATATATGTACAAAGATCTATCAAAGTTTTGTTAAAATATTTCAACATTTTGTAGAAAATGTGGAAACTTGACTTTTTCATTTAAAACTAACAAGAAAACTTTGAATCCAATTAAATAAAAAAGGTTTATACCAAATTACTTGCAAGAAATGGAATAACCTATTAATAATTTAGTTCATTACTCAGTACTTAAATGTAAATACAGTTTAATGAACTTCTAACTCTAGTAATGTTTTAATGGCTGCGAGAAACTTGGACATGAAATGTGAATTTTATAAGACACGGATGTATGTCCGTAAAGAAATCGGCTTATAAAAGTCCTAAGTATAGGATTTTTAAAAGCAGATTTCTTCTTACTTTTAAAAAACTGATCTGACTTTAATGTAAAACACCTAAGGATAATTTAGTAATATTTCTCACTTAAAAATCTTAAGTTTATTAATAAAGAAAACATTGTATCACGATACTTTTTTCATACAGAGATCAATGCCAAAAGTTTTGAATTTTGATAAACTTACTAATAAGAAAGATGTAATTAAATCTTAAGAAATACACAAATAAATAAACCAGAAAAATATGTTTACACAACACTTACATAGTATCAACTTATAAATTTTGAAGCGCGGTCTCTTAACACATCCTAAAATATATACTTTATATGTGTCTACACACTATCGTGTAGCATAAGGTAAAATGGAAACACAATACTCTACATTTTATTTCATTACATATTTAAACAAACAGTTGCTTAATGTGGAATTCTTTTAAAGTCAGTTTTAAGTTACGTATAATAAAATCAGTGTCACAATAAATGGTAGGAACTGGCTCCAAAAAATATTTCTCTTTAAAACAGAAATTTTCCCTTTTAATCATTATATTCAATAGTAACAAATTGTCATTGTTCTTTAATAAAGTTTTGACGACTTATATATATAAAATTTTTGATAATTCTTATTTATGGGTTGAAATGTATGTATTGAGATTTGTTTCAAAACAAATTTATCACTGTAAACCTAACAAAGTAACATAATAGGGTTAATATCAAGTAAGATAGCCCAAGATACAGATATATTGGAGTATATTTGGCAATGATATATATAAGATAATGAGTTTAGACATGCAGAACGAGTGTTTAGACATAAGAGATTTTTGCATCAATTTAGCAATAAAATGGTTACCTTAATTCATGATTGGTAGCCAGCATTGCTAAAATTTTATCTCAATGCGGTCCAAATGACACTCCCAAGTCAGAGTAATTTAGTAAGATGGAGTAAAGGTACCGCAAAACTTATTACATCTGAGGAGAGGCAGTTAGTTAGCCAGATCGCAAAGGGAAATAATCACAAACGAGTTATCAGTAGGTTTCGTGAGAGAAGGCACTTGGGCTATAAAATCAATCGTTTAGCCTAACTCCATCCTTAAAGCGGCTTCGAATTGGACTATAATTATTGATACGTATGAAAAACAATACAAAAGCCTCGAGGACCTGTATGCGTTGGTCTCCAGACCAGACATATTTATGTATTCGCGAATTTTACAGCGCTTTGTGATAATAGATCTTACGGTTCCTCGGGAAACCGACATCCCCAAAGACCATGCCATCAAGGTCAATACATATTAAGAGCTCATAAACGAACTCACTTGAAATAGGTTCGTCGTGGATTTGTACTCGGTAGAAGTGGAAGGAAGGTATAACAGCTGAATCTCTCTACAACCTACGAAAAGACTTGGGCCTGTCCAGAACTCACATCAGTGTATTGTTCGGACATCCTCTAGAAGGCAGCTCTAGAAGGTTCTTTTCAAATTTGGCTAGGTAGAGAGAGTAGCTTGGACGGTGTAGGTTTCGTCTATCGATTCAAAATGATATCATATCAAAATCCCCATAAAATTTGTCAAATTCCTTCTTCAGATATAAAATATTTCAAAATCAATTTAGTCTAGAATTATATTTATAAAAAATACGCTATATAAAATATACCCTAAAAAGGGCAAACATCTTTTTAAAGAATTTGTTTTAATGGAAACCCTACTCACTATCCATGAGTGCTCCCGGTACTATCACATGACGATAAAAATTTTAGAAGCTTCGTTTTCTTTCGGAGAGCACTCGAATTGAGAAAGGTGGTTGATAGGAATCTAGATATTTAACTCTCAATAGAATTTGGTATATTATCGTCTTAAAAACCTGAATAAATATAAACTTCTATGAAAAACGACATTTAATATATTTCAATGTTATTATTATAGGGATAGTTATCCATTCATTTTAAACTACATACAAATTGTTAGAAATAAAAAAAAAATGTTTACTTTTCTAATACAATTTGCGGTTTTACCAAAAAATTTTCTTTAAGCAGCAGTAATACATATTTACATATTCTCAGTTTTATAGACTTTATATTTAATAAAATTAGAAAGGTTTAACATAAATGTGCAAAAATATGTGTACACTGATATAACAATAAGTGTTAGGCGTTTATTTGAGTGTGGTAATAAAAGTAGTCTGTGACTATATATGAATTTAATCTGCCTTAAAGTATAGCTCTTTCAAAGCTATTGTTGTTGGAACAATTTCTCGTTTACGAAACTCGACTGGTTATTACAAAAGCTATTTTAGGGATTTAATTTATCCGGTTATACATTAGCTATTACTTGAATATTATAAGAACAAACTTCTCTTAGTGGCAGGTTTGTTTAATCACGATAAAAAATATATTTTCGGAAATAAGTTAATAAGATGATATTGTGAGAAATATTTTGAGCACATTGAATAGTCGAAAGATAAACTCTGGAACACTCCGGTTTTATATAGAATAAAAAGCATAATATTAGATATATTTATAATAAATTTATATCATAATTCATAGCATGTAATGTTAATTATATTTATAGTATTTAGACACCACTGACAGACGGCTAAGAAAAACATCGTGAGGAAACCTGAACTTATAAATACAAATTATAAGTTTTAAATCACCGACCTTTTTAATCTATACAAACGTACATACATATACGTATCAAATTAAATGATACTTCCGAAATCATAAGGACGAAAGGATTTTTTTTATAATCCAAAGGTGCAAACAAGCGGAAGCCTACCTGAGGGGAAGTAGTCACCGTCACCCATGAACATCTACAACATAATATAGAGTATTGCAGATCCATTGCCGAAAAATTTTGTATGTCCGAAAAGTATTATATAATTGTGATTTTGTCAGGGTGGATGTATTAGCGGTTATGAGAATAGAGAAGGGGTTTATCATGAAATTGGTTTAGAAAATGAATTTATATCATATAAAGAAAATCAAACTAAAACAATAAACTTATTGTAACAATGAATCAACTGACAAAATATTCCAATATATGTATATGTATAGTGACATTTAAAAATAAAATGGTTACGTACAAATGAAATCTAGCATATGTTTCAATGGTAGATAACCTAAACATTAATATAATTGATTTCTGAACAATTTAAAACATCAGCTCACGATACAAACCATTACTTAACTCTTATCCAGATTGTAAACTAAACGGAACAAAGAGAGTCGGAGTTGTTTTTCTTTAAATTTCAATCGCCACAAGTCTATTGTTTAAATTGAAGATACCAGAAGCGATTTTCTCGAGTTTAACGCTCTTGATAATGTGCCTGGTCGTTTGTGCAAAGATTTAAATGTTTCAAAATATAATATTTAAATGTTTTTTTCTCAATATTGTAGTACTTAGATTTATGTTTCTTTTAATTCGATCATTAATATAAAATTAATTAAGCAAGCAAAGCCAGAGACAACAAATGATTTCATAAAAACTCTAAACCAGTTCGGAGATAAAAATTATAGTTTTAAATTTATTATATTGGTACAAATATATATACAATAAAATAGGTTCTATAAAAAAATATTAAGGTCTCATCCACAGAAACCAGATCGTTGATTCATCCGTTTCTTTTGATTTTAACTTTCTGATCATTGAACGTGGAACAAAAGATTTTTTTTCAATGAAATTCTATAACATCAACATTCGCTTAAGCTATTAAGAAGCTGTTACTAACAATGTTTTAGGGTATAATTTGTCTCATTTGATATTAAATTTATAACAAAGCGTCAGTTAATTTCTCTACTCTGTATTTATGTTTATTTTTAATTTAATATTCATTATTGAA